GCCCAGGTACACGACGTTTGGAGCCGAATCGTATTTGTCGTGGGAGTGTCATCGGCGTGCTCGGGTAGTGCTCGGGAGGTTCCCACTGACCCCGGCCCGGGGGCCTGTGCGAGGAGAAAACCCCCGAACGCACGATATTTCAGTCGTCCTGGTCGTTCCGAGGTCGACGGTCGGTCGGCCGAACCGTATCTTATTTTGACAGCCCCACGGGGACTTTGGGTTTGGGCTCCTAAATCCTTTCTAAAGCTAAGAAGTGACGCCGTGTCAAACTAGGCGCGGGTCGATGATTGTCGCTGAAAACGCCTGGAGGGTAGGCAATGCTTTCCTGAATCGGGCCCCCGCGTCCCCCTGTCCCTCCGAGCGCTTGGACAAGGCGAGAGCTTCGGAGAGGCATTGATATCTTTCGTTTTCGCTTTAGTTCTTAGCGCAGTTTACTTCTGGTTGATTATGTTTTAGCACTGGCGGAAGTAATGAATTCGTCTATAGACTACCCACCCGGACAAAAATAAAACAAACATGGGGTAGTGCTTTCCTCATCCCACCGCAGAACAACATCTGAGTTCGTAAAGGGATCAGCCAAACGCACCCGGTACCAGTCGGGAAAAAGAATGTATTTTGACAGAGATTGGAACCACTGAACTTTGCGTCACCTGTGCCCCACCGAGCGCGCGCGGCTGCATACGGCACCACGGCGAAGGCTGCCTGCCGAGGGGGAGTCATGACTCTACTTTAGAAACTCTTGTACATTAATTTTGAAAATGACAAACAGACCCGTGTTGCCAAAATGATATCAGTTTTGTCTTCCTTGCTCATAACTTCCCCTCTCACATGCCTGGTTTACCTGAAAATAGTGATGTCAGTGTAATGGGTCATGAACACCAGAAATATTCAGAATTTGACATTTGACTTGTTTATTTGACCGACACTTCACACTAATGATTCATGATATTTGAAACAAAAATGGCTATGAAAAAATGCTTTTGAAACAATTGAATAATGAATATAACACATAAACAAAAGGTGCTTGTCAGTGTACATTCAGAGCATATAGGATGCAGAAAACTGTAATAGAAAACAATACCTTGGTTAAAAATGGCACATCTGGAACACCACCACAAGACATGTTCCTACCAAGTAAATACAACTACAATGTTTTGCTTAAGAAAACAAATCAACTATGTCATTAATAGATACAATGTAACACAAACGGATAATATTAAAATTACTGACTCTTAGACTTAAGAACAAACATACGCTCCCACAGACAACATTTTAACTGAAAAGATGTTCTTAAATGCTGAAGGATAAGATTAGACTTGCTCACAAAATCTATATGAATTCATCTGGAATACATTACTGACATCTGGAGACATTTAAATAGCAAATCTGAAAGATAGCGAATAAAATAGAAAGCAAATTTTGTTACCAGTTCTTCAAAATATTATGATATTGATTCCAGACAAAATTTAAAACAAAAACCAATCATCAAAAAAATGTAGCAAGACTTAAAGATAGCTCTCCTAAACAAGATGCAAAAATATACAACAAAATTGAGGATTCACACAGACCACAGTTGTAATGAGCTAGGACTGATTGATGTCAACAATAATCACAACAAGTTTTTGTAAACAGGGTATATATTTTGTCTAACACTCTTTGAACAAAGAATAACCCTTACAACAATTTAACAAAATCAGTGTTAGAATTTGAAAGAAAAACGAGTCACTGATCTGTACTTATATGCAAAGAATCCTGGTCATGCAAGTAAAAAATACATTACTCTAGACCAAATCACACTTCAAGGTATACATACTTCAGAGAACTTCAAGTTTAATGTTTAGCAGTTGAATGACCAACATCATAATTTATATGAGCTTAGCATAGTTCAGTTAATATTAAAGCAGCATAGTTCGATGGAAAACCAATACAGGAGGACCATAAGACTAGATATCAATGGAATGTGTCAAAAATTAGTTGTATGAAATGGTCAAACCTAAACAGTTACTAACTACACAAAAAGGGTCTCTGTAAGTGTAACAAAGAGTAGTTAGTAGATATGACATTCTTTTCAAGAGAATTCAGCCAAACCCAAACAAAAGATATGGTAGTCCACTTCTGCTCTTTTTAAAACATTCCTACAAAATTCAATTTCTGCCCACAAGTTTGAAGTAATAGGTTCAAGGTTTGCCAAATTCTTAACTTTTTGCGTTCTCATTCAAATTCAAACCTTCCACAAATGAAGATACATATATGTGGTATAATTTTCCTGAACCCTGTAAAATTGTAGTTCAAAGTAATTCTGAAAAACAGTGGTACATGAAAAAAAAAAAGAGCTAACTGAGTTAGTTAGATATAGCCATAAATGATAATCACTTAAAAATTAAACACACAAGTAAAGTAGATTATACTATGTTCGTGTTCAATAACTGTCCTCTGACACATGGTACCAGATGCACACAAGTCAGACCGGAAAAATTCTTTGCAGAATCTAGCTCTGTAATTATACACAATACAATTTAACAGCCACTCAAGTGGTTTCACACATTCTTACACTATCAAATAACTCACACACCATAACCACATCTCACTGCAATTTTTCAGAGTTGTACTCTTCAGTCTGTACGTAATTTGATGGTAAGAGGCAGTAGGTAGCATTGATGAGATCCAACAACACGCAACAATTGCAATTTTTTAAAACTGATAATAAAGGTAATAAAGCACTTTTAACTACATGTTAACATGTTAACAACAGCTTACAGTTCAACAATAAGAGCTGTCAAGGACCATAATTTTGCCACAAAATGCCAACAGCCATTTTACTGATCAAATCAAGTCATAACTTAAATTTTTCTATGATGCTAAATGGTATTCAGATAGTACATAATGACTGGTGGAACAGGGGGCAGAAGAGGCCATTAGATGCAGTTCCAAATATTTTTTCAACAAAATAACAGCTTAATCCATTTAACTGTAACCAATGGCTTGGGCTACTCCATTAACAGTCTTAGATGTAAGAACATCATTTTCATAGGTCACCACTGTCTCCTTCCCATTCTCTATGACTCTGAAAAATAAAATAACAGAATTAAATAAAAAAATTAAAAAGATTAGATTATATTAGAAAAGCAGAAAGAAGTAGATAACTGGTTTTGATTAACAGAAATAGAACTTACTTTTTGGTGGTAATCTTCTTTCCATTTATGAACCTTGTTGATGTAGATGTCTGTTTTGTTGGTACACCATTGCCCATGGTTGAAAAGGCAGTGGTAAATGATGTGTAAGAACCACCTAGAGAGTTTCCACCAGGTACCATACTTTCAAAGAGATTGAAAGGGTCAAAGAATGGCCTCAACGAATGGCTTGATGGATGTGAATTCCGATGATGCCCGTTTCTTGAACGATGGTGGGAGTGACCATTCATGCCTAGAAATAAAATAGTTTAAGTTGTAGCTAAATACTACATACTGTATAGTTTTCCAAAAATTAGCAAAGTTAAAAAAAAAAACGACATCTTACCAAAGTCGGCAGCAAATGGTGAGTCACCAAAGAATTCCCTGAACACATCCTCAGGATTACGGAATATGAAGGGGAAGCCACCAAAGACATCAAATTCATCTTCATGATGACGAGGACGTCGTGGTCTGTCGTTGGCAAAGAGACCATCTTTGCCGTACTGGTCATAAACACGACGTTTCTTCTCTGAAACAAACATGGGGGAAGGGCAATATTAGAAAAATTAAGCAAGAAGAAAAATACATGGCTGCAACACCTAAAAGAAAAACAATAAAATACAAATCAATGAATTTTGAAGAAATATCACATGCATGAACAATTTACTATGTAGTGACTGACTACAAACATTGTATAATATATGTCACACACTTCAAATTTTTAAAAACATAAGCTGAATGATAAGAACTCTTTTGCAAATCATTTCCAAGAAATGAGAAAATAATACCAAGTAACTGATGCTATTTACTTGAATCTTTCACACATAGTTAAATAAGCTAACACAAAGAAAAAAGGTTAACAATGAGCAGTCAAACAAAAGTAGAGTAACCTTCCCTTCTCTAGTCATATTCAGAGTGAGGGGTCATGCAGATACATGTTACATAGCGCATCCTCATCCCTCTATTGATGTCCCACCATTCAGGGCACCAAAATGTAAGAGAGAGGTGGAGAGAAACAAATTGTTTTACATTCGTATTATTTAAGAACTCCTTTTTTCACAACGTGCTTTAAAATGAAGTCATGCTCTCAAGGACTAGGTCAAAAAATACACTCCAGAGTTTGAAACACAAAACAGCACAGCACACAAGACTGATGAACTAAGTACCAAAGAAACGATGAAAGGGCGATTCAAAATAGTTTCGAAAAGCTGCAAAAGGTCGTGCTGAGGGCTTCGTAGAGGGATTGGGTCTATCAGCTGATCTCAATCTCCTGTCGTAAATTTTCCTTTTGGATTCTGTGTGCCAAAAATTGTTTGAACGTTGAAATAGTAGTCATTTGATTGGAAGGTAGAATTTTGATATTTTTAAACTATGTACAGTACATTTGATGCAGAATAAACAAGTTATTCCTCTGGCTCTTTCAACAATAGTAACAATAATAATTAAAGAAAACAACTTACCATCTGACAAGACTTCATAGGCTTCGGAAATTTCCTTAAATCTCCGTCCTGCTTCCTCCGGATTATCTAAGTTTTTGTCTGGATGCCATTTCAGTGCAAGTTTCCGATACCTGCGCAGGAGGAAAGGGAATGATTTAATTTTCGCTTCAATTCCAAAGATGTTAGTCATGAAAAGTATAAGAAAATACAGTAGAAGAAACATACGCTTTTTTTATCTCTGCAGTTGACGCAGTGCGTGACACCTCCAGGATTCTGTAGTAGTCAACCATTTTGCAAGCTCAACTGGGCACAGGGACACTGCAATCAAAAACAAGACCAAATTCATATTAATTAATTTTGCAACCTTTTTTTCTTGACGAGTGCCATTGCCCATGCTTGAATAGGTGGTGGGATTTAACTTCCAACAACCCCCACAAGCCTCAGACAGCCCATGAGAACTGTCGCCCGTTATTTACACTTGATCAAAAGCAGAAGAGTTTGATCCTCAATCTCCCCAGAAAACAAAAACCTCGCCGCAGTCGCAACGTCCCAACTTTCTCGAAACCACCACGCGGCCAAACTATCAACAACAAATCCAGTTCCTCCGACACGACACGACCCCCCCACCCTCCGGTCCGCCACTGCATGATAACAATCGATAAGCACCACCTAACCTCCTCATCCTCAGTGACACAACACGGACGTGCAACCCCACTGCCCTCGGAGGGGCTGCAGGGACCCGTAAAAGGCCCTTCAAGGGACGACACCGCGGTCAGCGGCGCGCGGGACTTACGCGGGGAGAGCAGTCCGAGACACGCCCCTCGCGGCGAGGAAGAGTTGTGAGCGGGACGGATGCAGACTCACGGACAACGGACGCGTATTCCGCACCCTCCCGAGCGCGCCACTACTCCACGCCACCCCCTGCTCCCGCAGCTGCCACCCCGAGCACGAGCGAGTTCCGTGTCGCGCCGTCGCGCCACTGGGCAGGCGCTGCTGTGCGCGGCGGGGCGGGGGGCGGGGGCAACGGGGGAGAAGGGGCCAGCAACACTCCCCTCCCCTCCGCCGAGGTATCCCATCCGGCATCCGTTGCCTGGCACCACCCGCAATACTCGTCAACCCTTCAGCTTTTCCAGGTTATAGGAAAGGAAAGGGGCCGAACCACCGCAAGCAGCCGCCGGCGTTCCCCTCCGGTGCCCTCACACACTCGTAGGCATTGTCAAAGTAGCGACTTCCGAGAATCTTTATCTGGGCTGGAGACTGGCGACGACAAAAGAGAATAGGATGCGTCAACTTTTCCGCCCCAGCCGCTGCACTGCTGCACTGCAGTTGCTGCCTGTTCCTGTTGCCCCTCCGGTAAGGCTGTGCCCCCTCAGGGGTCCCCCCCCGCGGCCGCCAGGCCACCCTGCGGCCCTGCGGCGCGTGGGGCCCCGGGGGGCCCGAGCACGCCGCCGTCACGACGCTTGGTACAGGGTGGCGCCCACCCCTCCGCGCCGCGACTCCCTGCCCCTAAGCGCAGTCCGCTGTCAGGCCCCGGTGCTCCATTTTGACGCAAAAAGCCAGCGTCACGCAAGCAGTCCTCGGAGCAAAGGGGCCTTCCAGAAGGGGGGCGGGGCAGCGCGGCGCACAGGACATCGATCATAGGACGAGGCAGAGCTAAGCAGCACCTGCCGATGATGCACAACCTGTGCTCGGCCAGGCCAGGCCGCTAGTCGCCGCAGGTTCAAGGAATCACGAAGGGGGCTCATTCTCGCGACTGTGAGTGTGGAAGCAGTCGGGGTAAACGACCCGATAGGCACCACCGGGTGTTGCAACGCGCCATAGTGTTGCACACTCGTGTTTACACCCAAAAGTCAAGGCGCCAAGTTCGCGACAGTAACTCCCCACCGCGGGGAGACACTCACCGGCAATAATGACACGCCGACGGACGATAGGAGACGAATGTAAACCCAGAGACAGAGAGAGGACCTGGCGAGACGCGCACGCGGGCGCGAGGCCGCGAGGCGAGGGCGAAGCAGAGACTGATCTGGACAGCGACAGTGGAGGTGCGCGGAGCGCGGAGCGCGTACGCGGGTCGCGGCGGGTGCGGGCGGACTGACGGGGCGAGTCGCTGCTGGAGAAGAGTGAGGCGGCCGGCGGGGCGGGGCGGGGCG